ATTTGTGATGGGCAGAATTTGGTTTATAGTTAAATTCGATTTCGAGTTATATATTTAGTAGGTATACTGACTTAACTAAAATTATGTTATAAGTACTACAAGTAAGCTGTCATCCGGGGTGCCTTGCATGCTTTACTGTTCAGAAGGAACAAGATGTAATATCTATCCATCTAATCCAGTTAATGACTAAAATAGGTGAAACAGAAATGCGACCGCAGACTTTGTAAAGTACTGCCGTCTTTCGGATAAATTTAGTTTGTCATCAAAGAGACACACAATTCAGTCAGAAATTAAAATAAATAAGTTTTTCCTTATCCTCGTATCGGGATAGGAAAACTACTGAATCACGACGCTTCCATTCCAAATATAAATTTCCACCTTCTATACTAAATTTTAATTTCTTTTAATACCTAAATAATATCACTTATCTACCTACTACTTGTTCCCTAATGTTCACCATGACCGTGAGTCCCAAAATAGGCATGATTAGGTACCGAATGGATGCGCAGGGAATGGATGCAATCGGTGTAGGACCGAATTTTATAGTGATCTAAAGAGAAAGTTTAGGTCCGACAGTGGACAATGTCCACGGCTGAAATAATAATGTCCACAATTCATTTTTGAGTATTTTTTATCAATTGAAAATTATGGTAGTTACTCACAAAATTACAACATGTGATATCTACGGATTAAATAACAGAAATTGTTATGACGTTACAATTGAAATCAAATAATATTTAGTCGAATAATTCAATTTTATATGTTATGTTTTATTATTCTGTGCCGCCCAACTCGCATAGCAGTTTCTGCCGAGAAGGTAGCGCAATAAACATGGAGAGACTTTTCTTTTTCAGAACAAAAATACAGGTTATTTTATTTATTCATTTATTTCGTTAGATTATGTTAGTAAACAACTTATAAAATATGTTAGTAAATTATTATTTTATTCATTCAATTCAAATATTTATGCCTATTTCCATGTCCAGAAGCACTGGGTCCGCAGCAGTGCAGCCATATCCAGAGTCTATAGCGGACTATCCGACATACTATTCTATTCTATTCCATTCTACTGGATATAGTGTTTAGGAGGCTGTTTGCGTATTTTCATAGTATTTTTTTAAACTCATTTTGAAAATAATATTATGAAATAATATTTTTATAATTTTAGTTTGATTTACTGACACGATTTCTATTTTTTATCAGTCGATCTACTGTTACAGATAGTGTTCTTATAAAGTAGTGTGCCCTGCTATATCAATAATATGGTACGTAATGGTTTTACGTAAATAATTAAAATACCTAAGAAAGGATATGGATTATATAAAATAGCTGTATCCTGTCTCTCAGTATGTAGAGCTGTACTGTAATAAATATAAATAATAAAATACATCCTGCAAACAAAATGCTAAATACCTGCTCAACAAGAACACGCTTGTAAAATGTGCGAGTTCATTCATAGATTAAAATTTTTATCACAGGCGTGGAAAAAACAGATAACGGTAAGAGTAGTTTGCTGTATGAATGGAACTAAATAGCTAGTAGGAAATCCCATGGGTAAACAGATGTTGACTCACTGTGTATGAGAAGATACTTTTTTCTTCAAAGTACAAAGTATTTTGCTATCTCATAATGCATATATTTAGGTTTTAACAAAAATTACCTATTATGTATTTAATTACTTTAGGACTGCTTCCCGATTATTTTTGCCCCTGATATTTTCATCATTTTAGGATTCATTTAATAGTAATTTTTGCTGCCTTGGTGGTTTGTGACTGACCAACTTATAGCTCTCTGTACGACTCCTGAACAGTTATAGGCGTATTTAAAAAACAAAGTACTTACTTACATAGATTACTAGTTACCTAGCTTTATGTTTTGCATACTTAGGAACTCTTTTATAATTATATGGAAATTTATTTAGTATTGTTATGTAATATTATGTTATCTGTGGTATTATCCTTTTAAGTGGTCGAGACTTTCGCGGTTCAATGTTAAATTATTGTATTTAATGTATTGCCAATTCAACACGATGTACTAACTGAGTTCATCTTTATTCCATCATGATATTATATTATACAGTAGCATCATCATCATCCATTTAAAATGCCTCAGCAACATACCCTCATTGGCGCCAGGCAGAATCACCATTCGATCATCGCCACAAGTCGGGTTAAAAATCATAGATAACGAATGTTCAGTTGGCCGTGTGTGTAGATAACACTAACCATATGCAACTAACGGCGTAATGCAAAGAAACTGAATGCATTGTTTACAGATCTTTGTAGGCATAGCATACCATTGTGTTAAGGAATAAAAAATAAATGAGATATATTTAAATTACTTTATTTAAATATTTCTCATTATTTTTTATTCTATTCTTTTTATTCTAACAGCCGTGTTAAAAAGATCCAAAAGATCTTTATGGATGCTACTTTAATAAATAGGTATTATTAACTACATATCTATACCTAATATAAATTAAAGTTTAATGATATTCTTACATAAAAAATCTACAAAATCCGACTGTGAGTGTCTGATCTTACTGACATCATTTCTTTATTATAGTAGGTGGATTGAAGTACCTCGCTTCTATACCTGAAGTCCCAGATGCCTATAGCCAATTGAAAATAATTTAATTATTATAATTTTTCTGTTTATCAAAATTATATGAACACATACATATTATATACCTATGTGATTACTAATTGTAATGTGCCATTTACGACTATGTTACAGACTATTCAGAAATTTTAAGAATGTAGAGGTACCTATATAGAGATTGCATGCCCTGTCTAAAATCATACAGATATTTGTCCTGACTCACCAATAATCATTTTTGTAACAAAACAAGCCACTTGTTATTAAATTATTATATTTTTTATAATTTTAATAAGGATTATTATGTTCTGTTATAATGATATGAAAATTAATCGTGTCGCCAAATGTGTTGCTAACTGTAAAAATCGACAACGGCTAGATCCATTAAGTATAAGATTTTTTATATATTCTTTCATCAAGTAGAATTTTTAAAAAATTGCCCAGACAAAAGTAAATAAGTACTCCACTTTTCCACTTGACGCCTATATGTAGATATAAATATCTGCTCAGCTTAAAACACCTTTGAAGTAAGTACTGAGAGAGTGGATCGTTGTCCCCTTTAAACTTCAGATTATTATAAAAAGTGGTGAAAGATACTTTTGGTTCAATGGAGTCTGTTCCGGAGCTAAATAAATATAGTAAAGTCACGTACCTAAACAGTGTTTTGTATATTTTTCCATTAACTATAAATAAAGTTTTACACTTTTCCTACGCGTTTTTTGTATTGTAACTTAATTAAGAAGTTTATTGGTAAATCTAGTTTTCATCGTTTGTTTTTCAGAGAAACAGTACGAAAGTGGGAACGTCATATTAACGAAGAAGGAACTGTGCCGTTAAAATGATTATGAATGGATAACCCATTTAATTACGACTGACTATTTGTGGACTATGGTATTTGCTTAAGAGCAATTTCCTTTCACTTCCACGAGGAAATTTACAGAAAAACCTATATATCTACCTATGACTGTTCTCTACAAACGGACAGACGTCCGAAATTCGCCACTGAAAACCAACGCGGAATTTGCGCACGTCACGTTTTGTAACTAGAAAACATAGCCTTAAACCTAGGCGATACGAGCCATGGAATGTGCTTGCTAACAACGATTCGGGAAGAGTTGTTGTCAAGGTGTGACTCTGAAGCGTACAGTTGTCGCAAGATACAATGTCCCTGAAATTCTTTTATACAGGATTACTGCCTGAAACACACCTCACGTATAGTCAAGCAATGGATAAAACAACAAACGCATGTGCGGACAGTATGGCTTAGTACATAGTACGAGTACCTATAGATATTATTAACAGCCCAATTACACGATTTTAATAAATAATGTCTACCTCGCTACACATATATATGTACTGTCTGTGTGTATAGCCTCCTGTAACTACTTCTAGTACCTACATGTATAACATCGATCTATTTCATACTTCAGTAATCATATATGAATTGCCATTCTATAGGTAAGTATGTATAATTTTATATTAGTTTTGAAAAGATTTTCTACTGTTTACTGTTACTGTGTCTACTGTTTATAAACTGTTAGATACAGTTTAACTAGAGCATTAGTCTAACTAGAGCATCCCGGTGGATGTTTAAATAAAAAAATATACCTAATATCTAATGTCTTTATCTGTACCTTTGTTGCTTTGTTTGCTTTCCTCCTTACAATTTATACAAAAAAAAAGATATAATTAAATGTACCTATTACCACAACAATACAACTATAGATCAACGATACAAAAAAAATAATCTCAAATATTGACATGCTCCCAGTATGTAAGCCAAGTTATAATACAAAACAGACAACAGGCGCGACGAACTTTGTTATTGGTAGCGAGATAAATAAATTAAATATTTATAATATAAATTTGGTTCGATGTGGCCGTGGGATCGACTCCTTGGTCTGATTGCGTCAGGAGATATTTTTAGTATCGGGCGGTTACGACTACAGGACGACGACGCTACAAAAAACTTACAAGCAAGGGTGGCTGGCGCCAAATTTTATGTCACGTAAAATATTATATTGGCTATACTAAGAATTTATATTATTAGTTACCCAAGAATATAAGGTAAAGCATACATATATTTGTATAACAAATATTCCAATTCCAACAACACGTCATCTACATTGATTGCATATTAGATAGATCTACTTTTAATTTTACTTGAATATATTTAAGTATAAATAATTTTACATACATTTGCTATATTAATTTATTGTTAATTTAATAATAAAATGAAGGTATAAGCACGCATCACATACTCATATGATAGGTCGCTAGTCTCACAGGATGCGAGTTCATCGATGCGATCGGTTATGGCTACCGGCGACCAAACATTCACATCTGCCTACCTACCTATGTGTAAGCGGTAAATACGTTTCAGAGATGATGGACAAGATAAACAGAAGACGGTCAACATGGCTTTGTTGTGTCTGTCCCTCTCCAACACATGCGATTTTACGGATGCCGGCAGGAGGCGGCGCTCTGGGAGGCGCAACGGAGCGGTGGAAATGGTTATTTTTTGTATCTTGTCAATGAAGGGACGGGTAGGGGCGGGCCGCGTCTCATGCGCAGGACTTCGCAGTCAGTGGTTGCAGCTCGTTTGCGTTCCTCATACCGCGCATTCATGAGCCCGCGGGAGTTCGTACAGCGAAAAATGAACTACGACAGTTGTGAAGTTAAATCAGTGCCGATTAAACGTGAGGAAGATCTCGAATACCCTGAAGACGAGGAGCAGTATTTCAGATACGCACCGGTTGAAGTAGACAGACACACGGACACACATTTTACGCCGTCCTCGCCGCCACAACTTATTGATCTGAGCAACGGACCTGAAAGAACAATGCAAGTATTGCAACCGTGGCCCATGAATGTATCGTTCGACAACGATGACCGCGAATACCAGCAGCCTTCATTCCAACAGTATGACCAACAGTACCAAAGACAGTTTCCGAGAAGTTTTTACTTCGACGACTCTAATTCACAGGACGAGAAAAATTTCTATGATAACCACGAGGTGCCTAAAGTGATAGATACATATCATACATCATCAGAAGAGCGAAGTACTGAAACGGAAGAACAAAGACGATCGAGAAAGCGCTCGAAAGCGGCGAGGAAAAAAACTCAATCTTATGAAGAGATGCAGGTTCAGAGAATGATGGCCAACGTGAGGGAGAGACAGAGGACGCAGAGTTTGAACGAGGCGTTCGCTAGTCTCAGACAAATAATTCCCTCCTTACCGAGTGACAAACTATCGAAGATACAGACGCTGCAGTTAGCAACGCAGTATATAGAATTTTTGTATCAAATATTAGCCAATAGTGAATCCGCATCTAGTAGTGACAACAGTAGCGATACAGGCAGCGACCACGGCAAGTATTTAGCACAAGATAAATTAAGTTACGCCTTCTCTGTTTGGAGAATGGAGGGCGAGTGGAATGGACAGACGTGATGTATAATTGTATATGTACAGACAATTTCACACTGAAAAGACGCTTATATTATTCCATTTTATTATTATTTCTGAAGACAAATACTATACCTATTTGTGAAGTGATAGTTTAGATATTAAAAATCGCGAAATCTTGTGATAGTTAATATTTAAGAATTTATAAATGTTAGGTAACAATTCGAGACTTTATGTAAATATTATTTTAGGAGACTTTAAGTAAATATAGATATAATGTGAAATAATAGTGATGTAAAAATATTATCGACACAGCTGTGTACCAAAAATTAATTACAATGTGCCATTCTAAGAACACTTAAGTCTAATTAAGCTGTTATTGTTTAAAATTAAATAAATATTATTAAATTATGTTTCGTTTTCTTAATCGACAAGTTCATCTGCAATAAATACCTATTGCAGACATGTAAATTCTGAATGCTAAGTACAAAAGTACCTAAATATTCAAATTAAATTATATAAACGGGTAAAGCTAACTTTCAGGCAGGCTCCTTTATAACAGTAAAAGAAATTTCTTGTATATAAACGTATTTATTTGGATAATAAGTAAGTACAATTGTACAAAGTTAATTGTAGTAAAAATTTAAACACAGTTAATATAATATATAACAATAACAATCTACCTGATTTATAAGTTCTAAAAAAGTTTTATTGCATGAACTGAAATTTGTATAACTACTCATGTAAGTATACAAACTTAATTACCACGATATTTAGTAGGGTCATAACATAACAACCAATAGGAGAACAACAAACAGGATTTAAAAGAAGACATTCTGTTAGATATATTTTTGTTAATAAAATAACAAATTAATAAAACAGATATATCTAGGCAAAACTAGGCAATCGTAATAAAATAAACCTTAAAATGTATTACAATAATAATTATTGTCTATAATAAGTTTAAAGTTTTATTTTATTTCAATAAATATCGGACAACAAAGGTAAAATAATTGATAATATTATTGTTCTATTGCTTATACAAAATTGTAATAATATCTAGATATGTAAGCGTCATATTATACTTGCCGTTTCTTACTTTCTGAATTTCCTTCGTATTATAAAAAAAAACATACACACAGTTGATTTTGCATTTATTCGCAAAAATATAAGAAAATACCTAATAATTTTGACAAAATTACACTCAATATTGCTTCGAATACAACAAATATACGTAGATACTATGTTAAGTACTTAATATTATTTTTCTTTGATTGATGTTAGAAAGGTAACTAATAACAATTTGTGTTATTTCTAAAATTACCAACAAATAAAGCTGAACTTTTTACCTATTATATTTATTTTTTTACTTTCTCGAGCACCGCCCGGTGTTGTAATAATAGTCCTTCTCTTTGAAACTATTGGATGATAAGTAAATGTTGATGGGTGCACTTTGACACCCATCGCCATATACTTATCATCCAATAGTTTTAAAGAGAAGGACTATTAGGAAACAAAATACGACAGCCATTAGCCAATTAGAAAGCAATTACCAATAAAATAGCAAATAAAAGTAGGTAGTAGTATCTTATATGATAAATTGAATACTTAGATTATTTTTTCCGCCGGGTAGATAGGTTTATCATTATTAACAATCAACTAATGACATCTAATGCATTTAGAATTACCATTCTCATAGAGAATTGATAACATTTCTTAGAATTACAACACATTCTTACTATTGTTATAAAAATCAATGAGAGTAGTTTGTTAGATCGGTATCTTTTTATACAATCGTTGAGTTTAATATTGAACTGACTCACCAATTTAAAATGGTGAACTATTTTAAATTATATCTAATAATAAAGTGTCTTAAAAGTTGTGATTTGCCATTTTAAATTAAATAAATAAATGATACTTTCAACAAATATTATATAAATATAAGTAGAAAACAATTAAGTTGTGATAGTAGATATTTAAAATATGGAAGAGATAGACATCTACATTGTATCCCGGTCAACGGTACTTAGGTACTAAGTAATTAGTGTTTGCCACAATATCAGGCTGTGCCGTACTGTTGTTTACTGACATCCTGCAGCAAACGTCCCAGCAAGTAAATTTTAATCGTTTTTGAAAGTATTAGATCCAAGTGTTCACATTATTACAATAAAAAAAATAGTAGAAAGTATTTAAAAGAAAAAATAAAACAACAAATTTTGAGAATAAAGGACCAAAGATTTTTTATATAAATAATTTCTTTTATTTTTCTTCTCTAAGTCAGTTAATTGCAATTACAATTGATGATATTAAATAATATTACTATAATTTTTAATTTGTTGCTGACTTAGATATCTGTTAACACGTTTAGCACACAGCACACGTAAAAACAATATTAATTTTAAGAAGTCGACATACATCTATTTTGTCAGTATTTGTTTTACCGTCTCTTCAGTCATCCCCGGCATCAATGATGCCATTTACTTTCACAAACATTAATAACTAAACACAATTCACACAGCGTCATCTAGTCCCAAATTAGCAGAGCTTGTAATATAGGTACTAAACAACTGATACTTAAATATTTTTACAATTACATATATGTGTAATCATAATTACATAAAATATAAGTACATAGAAAACATAGTATCATGGGAGAATGAAACCCGCAATCATTGGAAGTAAAGCGGTGTTATAAACCGCTAGATCATTGTCGCTCGATATATAGCTCGGTCTTTGAATGAAGCAAAATATTATCAATACAAACTTTGTAATATGTATACAAAGTGTGTATTATGTAGTATTATATTGCTTGTATAGTATCTATTAACTTCATTAAAGTGAACATAAACATACATTTTAACAAACAATTAATTCCAATACCTATAGAAAAGATCCTATATTTAGTATTTTTGTGTATATTGCACACATGATATATAATTATGTATATGATTTAATAAAGTCATTATAAAAACAATAATTGATAATTGTTTTAAAACAAACTTTATAATGATATAATTTTAAAAATGCAGTACTCTCAAATAAGGATATAAAATTATTACTAAAATTAATTCTTTAGAACATTAACAATGATAATAACATATTTCAATCGGATCTTGTTCTTTAACCCATTACCCTTAATCTATATTTTTGTTTACGATGATTTATAAAAAATCGTAGTAAACAGGTTAGATATAATTAAAGAAAAATAGATAATGGATAATAATAGCACTCTTACTATTAAAGTAAAATTAAGTTCTTTACCCCGTAGCTACTTACATCGACGACAAAGGGGATATAGGTCTAGTGTTGCCAGATTTATGCAAGATATTCATATTTGTTTCAGATTTAGAATTCTTAATTATTTTGTATCACTATAGTTTATTCACTATAGTATTTGAGATATGTTATTAAAACTGTATTACATTATTAATATACTATAGAGGAGTTAGTAATAATCGATTATTTTATAATAAAATTTGTTTTTTTCTTAATCTTACATAGAATTCTTTTATGAAATGAAACAATGAATATAAATTATACACATACAGATGTATATAATACACCATTATATGTAACCTATATTTGATTATTTAGTAGGAAAGTATTCCGATATCTCTAAAAACAGTTAACCATACAATATGCATTCAATTTATAAAATCCGTAATATATATTGTAAATTGCACATTATTTACAGCCATAACAAAGTTATAAGTATGTTATAAAACAATTTTGTGATGTTTACGTTTCTTTTGACTATTTACAATATCATTTACTCAGGGCACTATTAGTTCCGTAGCATTCATTTCGAGTATTGTTACCTGAAAGAAAGAATTTAGATTAGACAAACCTCTTTATAATTTACTAGCAACCCGCCCCGGCTTGTCACTAATGTATACCCGTAAAAAGCATATGTATAATATATGTAGTATATTATACATATAAACCTTCCTCTTAAATCAGTCTGTGTATTATTAAAAACTGCATTAAAATCCGTTGCGTAGTTTAAAAGATCTAAGCGATGAGGCAGCATAACAAACATTTATACTATAATAAAATTTTGTATTGTGCATAAAAAAAAAACAATAATTATTTGTATATCTATGGGATATTAATATGTATATCAGTCACGATGTGTGTATAATTTATAAGAAAATTAACTTATTTCTATTAGTTAGAAACATACTTCTGTCGATAAATCTTTATCGAGTGTTTGTATTGTCGCGTCGCTCTCGACGTTTTCTGCTATTGACCAGTCGGAGCTTAAAGGTGCCTGTAACAAAATAGTCATGATACACTATAAATCACACTTTCTTTTTTTCGGTAGACTTAGTACAAAATAGTCTGTTTGAAGTGTAAGATTTAGCTGTGAAATAACACCCTGTTATTTCACAAAGGTACGACATCCTATTTCTACAATGACAAAGCATGAGAGGTACTGTGGGCGTCATATGAGGATGTGATGTCCGGGGTGGCCGGGATCTATTTGTTCCTTTTACATAAAAATAGGGAATTGATATATTATAAGAGTAGTTAGTGATGCTGTTCAAGTATGTAGGCGACGGTTACCGCATACAATCAGGTTTGTTTGACAGTCAGCTTGTTTGCCTTTAGAATTATACAACATAGAAAAATAAAATAAAAGAAGAACTACAAAATGTAAAAACATACATTATGGTTAAACTATTTATATTCATATCGCACTGCTCCAATTATCGTAATTTACAAGCCCGCACGTTTATTCTGCAAAACGTATTCGTATACGTCTGCATGTGTGCCTGCATCACACAGCCTGCATGTTGAACAGCTCTTATAAATTTCAACTATTGTACTAATAAAAGTAATTTATGAAAATGAGCGACTAAATTGCTATTATGTTTATAGAATATTGATCATTACCCGCAATTGCGTTCGCATTTTTAGATAAAAGATAGATTTGCGATAAATTGGCGTCAACATATTGTATCACGAATATTATGTTCTTGTCACATCAAAGCTTATTAAGATCCATCAGGCATGCAAAAGTAACAAACAGACAGATGGACAAAATTTCGTATGTACAATGCTAGCCTACATCTGTGTCCATACTCTTGATACAATATATCTGCAAGTCAAACTTTAAGCTTCAATCATTCGTTTAGTTTTGAAAAAGTAAAAAAAAAACAGGCAGACACATTGGCATTTATATTAGTATGGATACAAACTGAGTTATTAATTATTTCTTAAAAATACACATGATTACTTACAGCTTGATCGGAGTCATCGATCTCCTGTTTGTGGACCTGCTTTACGTGGTCCTTGAGAGCGAAGGCACGTGCATAACTCGCGCCACACAAGTCACAAGAGAACTTAAGGTTGTTTTGACGCAGGTGCGTCTCCGTGTGTACACGCACTGCGTACAGGGACGCGAAAGGCCTGATAATAACATACCATAATAAAAATTAAATTTTATAGCACAGTATATACACATATACTAAAGTATTAGCTTCAGTTAAAGATTTTGCGTTAAAAGGTACACACATGCCTAGTGGCACAGTTTTATAAATAAAGTAAATACGCAACTAAATTCCAATAGGAACACAGTTCATATGGAAATAAGAAAATATTTCCTAAAGTTTATAATTCCAGTAATAATGATGGGATCAATAGTATTTAAAATTATTCAAAATTTCAACTTGAACTCTTTGTAGTTTATGAAATACAAAATTTTACTTGTGACTTCGTCTGCTTGACACATAGCAGAAAGCTTACATTTGTCCTCATAATACCATCTACCTTTTTACTAAATTTCATTAATTACATTTATCTGCTTAGTCGTGAAAAGGTAACAAACTTAGGAACAGATAAACCATATTATTATGGATAGTGCTGTGGCTAATATACTGGCTGTTTAAATTTTAAATTATTTAGTAAGGTTTAATAAGCTGAACCTATTTATTTATTAACGGTACAATATAATGTTATTCATATACTATACCTATTGCAATGTTGACATGAGAATGGTTTAGTGTGGGAATTCTTGTGGCCTGCGAGTTGTACGGAGGTCTTGAACGCCTTCGGACAGTACGGGCACTTATACGCGCGCACCTCCGAGTGTGTCAGCAAATGGTGGTTGTATACGCTGTGCGCTTTGAAGCTAATAAACAAATAAATACTTTGGACAATTCACATAGCGTCATACAGTCCCGTGTTAAAAGTTTGTGTTATACCCATAACACAAACTTTTAACACTAGACACTGATATTTAAATATTCCTTTTTACTGTGCACAGAGAAGAAATGCAATAAGAAAAACAGTACATTGGAAAGTAATAATAAAATGCAGTCTTATCACCATATATTTTTGTAAATATGATACATAAAAAATGTATACCGACACAATAAATAACATCATATTATAATAATTATAGTTACAAAATATTACAACCATCTTGAGAAGATAATACATGTCATCTTCAATAGTCATAGGATTCGATATCCATAAAATACATAACATACTTTTGATATAGTTTTTTGATATCTGTAATAATTACGGAATAATTCCCTGTGCACTCTTAATTATATACATATATATTAATATACTGTATACACGAACCATACCACGGACATCACAACTTGATGTGACACCTGTAATTCCACTCACATGTTCTCATTCCAAAGGACAAGATGTCATGCCTCTTAATCTGTAATTCCACTGCCTAATGGGCAGATTTGTACAAGACGCATACACATTTTCAGTCTTCCCTTGGTAATGGTTCATAGTTTTTTTATGTAACAGTAATGGCTAACAAACGGATCACCACGTAGCGTATAAACTTTCACTATGAGCTTCAAATGTTTGTTTGCAATTACTTTATTAATATTACCGTTTGCCGCAATGCGTACAGGCATAGGGCCGTGCGCCGGTATGAGTCCGCATATGCAGGGTCAAGCAATAGGATACGCGAAACGACTTCCCGCATATCTCACACTCGTGCGGTTTCTCGCCTGTGTACCAAAAATTAATTTCCATTATAATTAAATAGAATTAGTAAAGTGTGGCAATTAGTCTTTGAGTTTAAATAGGTTAGGTATTAACGAAGAAAGAAGAAAGTATTCTTTAGTATGTAACATAATAATTATTATCTGTAAGACACACTTTAACACATTAATATATCTATTTAAAAAAAGTTACATTTGTTCCCGTAAATCCCGTAATAAATGAATAAATTAGTAATTTCGTCATAATCTATCTGTGTATTAATTTCAATCCGTTTTGAATGAGTATTGAGTTATATATAGTAATATTTTCACGTTCTTCTGATTTACCTGTATGTATTCTCTCATGTTTCACCTTTTCGTGTGGTCTCGCGAATCGTCGTGTACAGTAAAGACAGCTATATGGAAGTGATTTGTCAGTTTTACTAACCGGTACCTAAAATATTTTCATAAAATTTTATCATATACCTTTCATAAACTGAACTGAAAGTTCTATCGTTATAATAGGCAATGGAACAATGAAAAGTTGATTCATGTCTGTACTAGTGCTTAATTACCCATTCGCCTTATGCAACGACCTCGGATGTAACGATTTTCGATAAAGTTATCAAAAATCGTTACAAGTTATCGAAATTCTTTAAGAATTATTAAGATTAAGTGTTCTTAATAATTCTTAAAGAATGTCTTGAATATGATATTGCTGCTTTTTGTCAGAATAGATAAAACAGAGGCTTCATTATAATAATATAATAATAATAAATAGGATAAAGGGGATTGCCAGTAATAGACACTAATAACCGTATCGCTAACAAGATACAAAGTGTTTACACCCTCCGATCGATCTCCCATCAAATTGAAACGGGTGACCTTAGCTCAGGTTCGAAGGGTCCAGGGACCCTAGCGATGCCCTCAGACTAAAGTCGTATCTGTCAGGCGTGAGTTCTATAAATCCTTCCGCGAACATGGACTGCCATCTGCACTCGCCCCATATCGCCCGATGAAGCTGTATAGACCAGCTGCGGCCAACATTTAGCCGGATTAAAGTAGTCCGGAATGTGTATTCATCACAATAGGTAACTACCCTGACTTTATCCTCCACGGTTGTCCCGTCAGTGCATTAGTGTACCCGGGTACACTATTCCATTATAATACATACATAAAAAACTAATTTACATCTACAAAAGGTACAGTAACAACATACAAGGAGTATTCTCATCTCTCCCCATGTCTAAAGCATATTATAAATGGAGAAAAGCCAGTTAAAATTGTGTAGTACCCTATTTAGTATCATCATAGTAACAACTTTAGAGAGATCTAAGGGAATGTCACGGGGCACGAAAAAATCTTTAAGTTATTTACTGGTATCTACAGGATAGCGTGGCATCCTAGTACTAATAGTACTAGTAGTACTAACATAGAAAAGAGAGAAAGTCGAAATATTAGGAATTTTCTTCTTCTTTTGAACTAGTTTATCGTTCTTTGCGCCTCTAGTTACCTTAGAAAACAGTTCGTATAGACAGATTCTTTATAATAGCTTATATATAATTACCTTATCTAAATTATGTACACTCATATGCATTTCCAAATATTCATTTGATTGGAATTTCTTATTACATACGCTACAGTTCATTTTGTTATCGTGTTTATGGGAATTTTGGTGTATGGTTTTATAGTCCACCGGAATCATCTTCTCACATATCGTGCACATATATCGAGCACTATCCGTCTCTTCACCCTCTGCTGTGGTTACTGGCGGATCTATGGGACGTGATCTGTGAAATAATAAGATGTTGTACAAACAAAACACATCATTACTTTTTTTATAAAATATACATAATATACATAGAAAAATGCAAGAGAAACAACCATACTCAAGAAAATAATTATTTGTACCATGCAAGGAATTGAATCCGAGACCATCGCAATCAAAAGGGTGTGCTAAACCTCTACTTTATAGACACTTACTTGATCGGATCATGCATTCGTTTATGAAGTTTTAATGATTTATTTGTTGGGAATATGGTATTACAAATTTCGCATTCGTAAATCGTATCTGCTTTATCTGAAAAAAAAAAACGACGCAAATAGAATAAATCCGTACATATCTGCATATTATTTTTCCTTATCCTACTTATTTGTAGTCGTCCTAATATGTTTTTCTCTGCCATTCATCCCTGTTCGCAGTCATCTTGTTATTTTCTCTCTTTCTTATCATATCATTTTTCGCACAGGCCATACATCTCTTTTTCGGTCTTCCTCTACAGTTAAATCCGTACATATCATTCATACGGTATAAGTGCCTTGAGTTATAAGCAAACGGCGTTGTAATAATTTCTGTTACCAACATTATCGCCATTGCTTCAGGTACTGATTTTCCACCCAAGCACTTGCTCCGTACTAGTTTTTGGTTCTTGGACCCACATTGATGACCCATTGCAATTATATTTTATATTCAAAGTTAGGATCGAAATTGGTAATGCTGTTTGATGGTGGTAGGATATAAGGGTCCACCTATAAATTACGTCACACCAACACCAATTTCAGTAATTTTACACCCCCTAACCCGCCCCATCGTTGTCAAATATTTATAATCAAAATATTCAATATCATATAAGGCAATTAATGTACAAATACGGATACATTACCTTTTGACTTATGAGCTTTCATATGCGCACTCAGGGATTTCGAATTTTCATATGCCACTGGACAATGGGGACAGGAGAACTTCACTGCAAAATTACAATTGCATCAAAATTACGGATAGACTTAGTGTTCAATGTGCTTCCTTTTAGCATTAAGTTGCGGTACGGCAGTAAGTTACCTACAACTAAAACTGACATTGAATCAACTGTAGTAGTTTAGGTAATTTATATTTAAAGAAGCTTTTATACATTAATACTTTATATGTTTTCATGGTCTGTGTAACGTAAGAGGAAGAATAAACAAATACATTTTCCCTGTATTTGCAGCATTTTAGATTAATGTTCTGCAATCGGTGATGCATCTCTCGGTTAATGGGATACCAAAACTAAAAGAATTTCCCATACTACCGTTTATATTTACAAGGCATGAACATTAAGTACCTACCTATAAAAATAAGAAAAATATATAAAGTAATTATGTATTTATTTGTCTACTGACCATACACTACTACTAACGCAAATCGTCTTTAAGTTGATTTACCTATATTTAATGTAAGTATGTTTCGTGAAATCGCAGTGTTACAATATCAATGCTCAGACAGGAGAATTATATAACATACTTACATGTTTTACAGGTGTATGATTTAAACTCTTCTAAGTTACCAACATAAATATCACATGACATACAATGATACATTTTAATATCATTACCATCCGTTGTTTTAACATCTTTCACTGTAACTTTATGGTAGGGACCCCCCTTTTCTAAAAAGAAAAAGAATTACAAAAACATATTAAACTAGCAATACCTATACAATTATGCAGGAAAACATACATTTATATACTTTATTACAACTATTATATTCTTTTTTTTTTCTGTGCCAATCCTGCAATCAGTCGGAGACTATGAATAGATGTGCTGCGTCGCGGGTAGAGAGTGATTCCCAGCAGCATCATCGCCTCTTTTGGTGGTCCTGTTTAATCATCGGGTTCCAGTAGCCTACGACTTTTAAGCCGACGTATGTTGTCAGAGACTATCAGTTGGTTGGCAGCACATTAGGATGGTTTACTAGCCGTGTCTTGTACTTGGAGTAGTGGTGTTTTATCTCTTCGGCTACTGTGTTTGTGTTGACATACTCATGAACCTCAGATATTTACAACTATTGTATGAATAATTAATCCTTATTAGTGTATGTTCAAATACGATTCAAATCACTTAGATTGCAATTGTAGTTTAAGTATGTATATAATTTGTATAGCACAGAAACAAAAATGAAATCAATCAGTGTATCACATTCGTGATATGTTTCTCAAAACTGCAAAAACTTTCACTGGTATAATATATTAACAAGCTTACCATCACTTTGGTTTATATCTTTAACAATACTATCGCAGAATTTTTCAATTTGGACATATCGCTTTGCCGGGGGGCGCCCTCGTTTTTCCCCAATGTTTTCTTTTATGGAATCACTTGGAACTGTAAGCAGAACACAATAACATTATATTACACGGCACTGCATATAGTACACTTAACCTGACGGATTTAGACATATTAGCAGAAAAGTCCAAATGGATTAGGTAAATCAGACATATGTAACCACATATCAGATGTAAATATTATTATTATTCTCTAAAGGAAAAATAAGTAGGTACAAAAGTGGAGTATTTTAGTTTACTTACCATCAGATAACAAAACAGTTGTATGTTTAAGGTATAATGGCGCTTCCACAATACTGCCAGTGTCAGTGATCATTCGCCGAGGAACTACTGTGTCATTAGGTGGATGACCATTCTTAGCAAGAGGATCTAACTGTATAGAAATCCCATTTGATTCATTGTCAGCTTCCTCTAAAGGTTCCTATAACAGATTATTACACATAACAATGTATAAAACATTACATTTTATGTAAAAGTTAAATAAATAAACCTAAAATACTAATAGGACATTATTCTTAACAAAATAAGGATCTTTATTTTCAACTTTTTCATGAAGTAATTTTATAATTTTTTTATTTAATATTCTTTACATTATCATGCTCCAGTAAAATTAATGATTTATTTAAATTTAATATTATACTATTTATATAATACTTTGTTGTTATTCAGTCACTGAATCCTGAATTATGTTTAAACAGTGGAGTGGCTTTCAATAAAGATTACTTATTTGGTCTTATCCCAGGATATATTATGTGAGGGGCGTGGGTCGGGCAACCTCCTAGTATGGGCCTGCCATTGGGAGGCTTCCCCATCCTCGTGGATACGTCCGCGGGGAACGGTGGCCGAGCAATGGTTTGGTTCTGGTACGCCCCGGGCGGGATAGTAGTCGTTCCTTCGGGATACGGCTACTATGTCGGCCAGTAGCCCGGCAGGTTGGGCGTGTTCGCGGTTTCCCATGCCTCGACAAGGTCGAGGCTGCCGGAGCCGGCGAACCCCCCCAACTTTCTCTTCGTTTTTATTTTTTGGTTGTTTCTTCTTATTTTGTTTTCGTTTGTTTTGTCTTCTTTTTATTTGTTTTAATTTATTTTGGTTTTTATTTGTCTTTGGTTGTTTGTCTGTCTTTTTCTGTCTTTTGTCTTTGCTGTCTTTTTGGTTGTTCTTCTTTTTTCTTTCTTCGTCGTTGGTGGCAGGAGGTCGGGACCACACCCGTTAAAAGGAACAATACAACTCATGGCTGAACGGAAAAGTATATTACCCCAGGGAGGTACCGGTCGCTCTGCGGCCGGAGAATCCTCCCCCACCGCACCGGATTTGCCGGGGGTGGGCCGTCCCACGTACTCTGGGGGGGACACGAACAGCGATGAGGAAAAGTACCAGAGGGAGCTGATGAGGAAGTACGGGGCCGTCAACTATCTCGAGGCCCTCGAACTGCACGTGGCGGACATGGACTCGGAATGCACAGGGTCCTCAATGTCATTCCGGTCCGATGACAACCTTGGGGAGGCGAGAGGGAGTACCTCGCCCCCCAAAAAACATCGAAAGAGGAGGATCGCTGAGAGGGGTCAAGAGCTGGACTCTGACGATGACGAAGCCAACCACGTGCAGCTGTCATCTGCGGCACGGAGGAGCAGGGCCAGGGGCCCTCCAACGGCCAAGAGGGGAGCGCGAGCGGCCAAGTCTGCGGCGCGATCGGGTACAGGGGTTTCGGCCTCTGAACCCGAATCGTCCAGGTCCGTCTCGCGCGCCCGCAGGGAGTCAGCGGAGAACGCCACGCTGGGCGCCGACGAGCTGGGCGCCAAGGTTGAGGATAGTGCCCTTCAGGTCCTTGCTGCAGTGAGAAAGTCCAGCAACCTGAAGGGCACTATAGTCGGTGAGATCAACCGCGCCATCCACACCATCCGATTGGCGTCGGGTGCCCTGAGGCAAAGGTCGTCGAACCCGGAGGAGGAAGCCCTCAGGCGGGAGATCCGCAAACTCCGCGAGGAGTTGAACATGGTCAGGGAGATGAAGGCTGCGATGCTGAAGGAGTCTGTCGAGGAGAGGAAGAAGTTCCGACAGCTCCAGATGGCGTCGCAGTCTTCCGCCGCGTTGGCCGAAGAGCTGGCCGCGTTGAAGGCGGAGAGGGAGGAATGGCAGAGGCAGGCGCGGGAGAGCGCCAGACATCTAGAGGACCTTAAGAAGTCCAACGCTCTAGACCGCGCCGCCCTGCATAAGACCATGCGCCAGCTGGAGGAGCTGCAGACCGCCACCGAGCTCCCGCCGGTGGTGATTACGGGGACTACGGCGGAAGCGCCGGAAGGTGCCACGCCCCGAACCCTGTCAGAGGACGCCGAAGACCGGATCATCCGGCGAGTAGGCGAAATGATGAACACCCGCTTCGCCGAAATGGAGGAGCGGATTTCGGCGAAGCGAACGCGGCCGCAAAAGGCCGCCAAGAGTATGCCTACTGCCGGATCATCCGGTGCAGCGGCTGACAGGGTTCGAGAGCCCAGTGGAGGACATGCCTCACAACCGTCGACGTCTGGAGCGAACAAGGAGGGCTGGGCGACGGTTGTGAGGCGTGGGAAGCGCAAAGGTGCTGGCGCAAGCCAGGCGGGTCCCACCAGCGCGCGACCAACGAAGGCGCCAAGCGGCGGCCACAAGGAGCAACCGCAGCGGAAGCCTTCCGCGCGGAAAGTGAAAGCGCGTCCCCCTCGGTCATCGGCGGTCGTCCTGACCATGAGGCCGGGAGCCGAGGAGCGGGGCGTCACCTACGGGTCGGTGCTAACCGAGGCGAAGGCCAAGATCTCCTTGGCCCAGCTCGGTATCACCGACCTGAGGTTCCGCGTGGGAAGGACCGGAGCCCGTATTCTTGAAATACCCGGTACCAACACAGGGGAGGCGGCGGACGCGTTGGCCGCCAGGATCGAGGAGGTCCTGTCCGAGGACGTCGTCCGGGTCTCCAGGCCAGTTAAGTCGGCCGAGCTGAGAATCGGAGACCTGGATGACTCGACACTGGTGGCTGACGGGATCGTCGCTGGTCTGCGCGAGGGGGTTGCCTGGAGTCCTCGGTGAAATCCGGGGAAATCCGGCGCAACTCCCAGGGTACGGGCTCCGTGTGGGTGCGGTGCCCTGTGGCTGCCGCCAAGAAGTTGGCCGAGGCCGGCCGGCTACGGATAGGGTGGGTGATGGCGCGGGTACAGTCGCTGGACCCGCGTCCTCAGCGGTGTTATCGGTGCCTGCTTACAGGCCATGTGGGCATCCGATGCACCGCCGGGGAAGACAGCAGCGGAATCTGTTTCCGCTGCAGCGAGCCCGGCCACAAGGCCGCACGGTGCACGAATGGTTCTCCATGATGGATATTCCTGACGTGAAAAAAAAAAAAAAAAAAAAAAAAAAAAAAAAAAAAAAAAAAAAAAAAGGATATATTATGTGAAGGTATCTCTAGTATACTTTTCTCAAATAATCTGAATATATATAATTATATCTTCTAGTATTGTACTTTGTGCCTATTATATGTATTGTACAAACCCAACTTACCTCAACAACTACTTCTTGATCATTATGATAATTCTGTATATGATCTATGACAGAGGAGAAAGAGACACCACATGTGTTGCAGCTGTATATCTCCTCAGATGTTTCCTCTGCTTCTGTCTCTGTTGTTCCTTGATCTACCTCTAAATCTGAAACTGAGAGTTTGTCAAAATAAGTCTACTGATTATATTGATATTAAAAAATATAATTGAATGATATAGTTGAAAAATAAAGTCCTATAATTGAAGAGATAAACTAAATTATATTTAACAAGGTTCACTTTGCAGAATCAGTATCTAGGCCTTGTATATTTCTTCATGATGATTGAAGTAGAAACTGTGGTGCACATACAGTACAATCTATTGATGATAGATTATATGATAATTATTATGTAATATGGATGAAATTACAGGGTACAGAAACATGATGGCCGATGTATCCAAGAGTATGCTGTATGTATATAACTATAGCCTGTCATCAGGTGAACCTGAACATGTTAGCAGCTCCAGTTAATTAAAAAACTACCTTTCACCGTTGTCAAAGATATAGTGCCATCATTATTCTGCTTAGTTACTACTGTATTCTCCAAATTGAGATCTGAATCTTCCTGTTCCATAATAACGTATCTACTTTCACCATCCTCTTCTACAAATTTTAGCTCCTGGGTCTGAAGGCATGGTTTTGTCAATTGCTTGCTCAGTAACTCTACATACATTTTGCTGTCAATTTCCTTTGATTCTTCAGTTACTGTTTCAACAGAGACTTGTTCTAGGTCTTCACTTTTAATTACACTTCCTATAAAAAAGATTTAATTATTTTCAAATACCCATCAAATAATATTATTTGATGGGTATTTGAAAATAATAATATAATAATAATAAATGTAATTCCATTAAGTATACACTAATAATCTAAGTATTTGCTACTTTTAACCAACTATAACAAAGATGTTTTTAGATGTTAGATGTTATGCAACATCTTTTGCCAAATTGGACTGAGTTTTATTTTACTACTATAATGTATAATAAGTAGTTATAACAATAAATTTATTCTATATTATTTCCATAAATTTTATAGATAATATTATTATATTAAATACTTATAGATGTTTTTTGGTATATAATATACTAGTTTGCAAGTGTATTTTATAACAAAAAATACAAATCATATGGTTAGAAAAACTGATTGTATAGTACATTGTTTTAAGTGTGACCAGCAGTTAGGGTCTTAGTCAAATTCTTTTAGTAGGTTAAGTAGGTAAATATATATAAGGAATTTAATAATTAAATAAATATTTATTGGATCCTACAACATGTAATTCATTCATTTATGAGCTCACCATTTACAAATGCCTTCGATTCAGATATACTATTTTCAGTAACATTTTGATTAGATCTATCCTCCAGTACCGGTATTCCTAACGATTCAACTATCCTATCTGGTTGGCAATCATCAAGATTTAAATGTTCAATAAGATGAGCTATTGAGGACCATTTGTTTTTACAAATTGGACAAATAAGGTTTGAAATTATGTTTGATAAATGTTCAGCAAGTAATAACCTTGAAGAAAACTTTTTATCACAACAAAGGGGGCATTTCATTAATAAATCTTCCATTATAAAAGTATTTACAACACATGTGTATTATGAGTGCAATTTGTTCAAGGAAGGGCAGGGGGCATATTATTGTCTGATGGTGAGTATGAGTTAATTTATATATCTTCGTACTACAGCTATTAGGACAGAACATTCGGTTTGTATCTATGTTCTCAACAAATCCATTTTATATATGAAGAACTTCACACTAATTATACACTGAAACTGATAAGTGAAGAGAGTACGGAAGGTAAAACTTAGAAAATTTGACGTATAATTTTTTTATAATCCGCATCATGAGCACAGAGTATAAATTATATTCACAGATCTCATATTATATTTTCACACTATTAGTCTCATTTAGGTTATTTTCATAGTTATCTATGTAATGTAAAAATTAAATTTTAGTATATTTATTTCATATTCATAGAAATTCTTAGGTAAGCACTAATTATCTTAAAAAATCAGGCAATGGAAAATTTATTCCTTCCTGAAAATAATTACGCAATTTGAAGATACCCAAGGCAATTGAAATATCACCGTCTCTAACGTTGGTCCTTATTGTATTAAGTTTGAAACCAGTTTTTTAGTCAATAATTTGAAAAACATGATTTTCAATTTGGCCATCGTTGTCTGTTTGTTTTGTAGGCAGTGAAGCTTCCAGTTCAGTAAAATATTTAAAAAATAAAAATATTGATTCACAAACGCCATTTTGTTTATCTTACTTGTCTGATAGTATACTCGAGTTATATTTTTTATTTAGCATCCTTCAAATTAACGTGTTATTTTCATTCCAAAACATTTTTCAATAATGAATAAGTGACTGCAAGTGTTTAATTGTCAAATAACTTAGACTAATTACGCTCTACTGAACTTTGCTATATGTCTACTTACATATATCTTTACACAGTATATTATTCGCGGGTAAATTTAATTTAAACTTAGTTCAAAATGTTAGGTAAAAGAATGCACCATAATAGTAAAGTGAGAATGGCTAGTAAGGGCCATGATAACGGAAAGCCGTCAAGTCCTGGTATATCTCCTTACAATAAACCAGCGAAAATACCTGGTTCGGTTTCTGTTGGAAAAACGAAAGTTGATGTATGTCCTATACCATATATCAAAATACAAGATAATGCAACAAGTTTACCACGCTTCACAGCTATTGCTACAAGATCTGCAGATGAAACTATTGGAATGGATGAGCTTGATGCGCTACAACTAGAATTGGAATCACTTTTGTGTAATACAGCTCTCCGCATAAGATACTTTCAATCAGAAATAGAAAGTATTGACACAAATGAATCTAAAAGAGAAAAGAAAGGAAAAGCTGCTGGTAAACAATTGCAATATCCTGTAAAGCGAAAATTTTTAGAGGATAAACTATTAAAAACCAAAGACTATACTAAGTTATCAAATCAGCCCAAAGTGCCTAAGTTCAAAAATTTCTCAAATGCATCCAGTGCTTCTCATAATTATCCTAATGATCATGGAGTAAACTCTGACAATTCGGTAAAACTAGAGTTATCACAGTTTGCTTTACCAAAGAATAATATACCATATAAATTTTGGAGTTCTGTGGAACCATACTGTGCACCAATTACATTGGATGATATAAAATTTTTGGAATCACTATTGGGGCAGAGCAGTAATACAACTTTACCTCCTATACCACCACTTGGTAAACATTACTCTGAGGTATGGGCTGATGAGCATTTAGCAGAGGATCAAAATGCTTCTAATACTAATAAACAGAAAACTGGCATGTCACCAGATGCTTCAAGTTTGCGTAAAAAGTTAGAAAAAACAAGTGATAACATGATTACAGGTCCTTTAACACAAAGATTAGTATCAGCATTAATGGAAGAAAATGTTATGCCTTATGAAGTACCAGATATAAAAGTTAAGCAAGCTGCTACTACAAAAAATAGTTACAAAAATTCATTGACCCTAGAAAAATGTTTGAGAAAAGAATTAGTTGAGCAAGGTATTTTGGATCTAGAAGACTTGCCACCCCTAACAAATCCAGCTGATGATGAAATACTGGCAGAAATCAAGAAATGTCAGACTGAACTTACTGCTGTGAGAAAAGACAACTGCCGTAATCTTAAAAGTCTAATTACATTATGTAAACAAGAGATGATTAGACTAAATTTGAAGAAACAATTGGATCAGGTGGATATGGAATGTATTGATATTTACAAAAAAATGGTAGCTGCAAAGCAGAAGAAGCGTGTTGTCACAAAAAAAGAAAAGGAAGATGCATGGAAAGTAATCAATGAACAAATCAGGCTTAATAAAGAAATTAATGCATTACCTTTAACTGGACCAAATTCAAGTTAATTTTAGTTATATTAATTTTATGAAATCTATGAAATGTCATTATAAATATTTGTTATGTTACTTTTCTATTTAATATTCTGAGCAAAGCAATTATCATATTTTTTAAAACAAGTTCATTTCAGTGCAGACATTTTTCTTGATTCTATGTAGACTCTTTATAGCACACTGTGTAGCAATTTTAGGAGTGGTTTTAACTTGTATAAGAGAACTAATTTTCATTATAATTTTGTAACCATCAAAATCAGTAATCTCTCATTAAATGTATATAGAATAAGTATGCTTATTATATAAATATATTGAATTGGTAGGTCATGAAATGTTAACATATTCAATTTCTAATTCATGAAAAACCAGTCTTGACAAATAAGAGAACATTTAATCAACGTAAGTGTCACCATTGCTTTTAGATATTTTCTCCAACCAAGGAAATATTTTAGTTCTAATTTTTTTAATTATTAAAACACATTCTAGAGCTTTATGAGTTTTATTACTTAAACATGGAAATAGGTCTTCAAACTAAAAGACTGAAAGAGGTACCTATTTTATTTAAATTTTGTAGTAGTGTTTGCCTATCTCAAATTATTTAACGTCATACATGCAAAATTAATGCTTGTATTTAGCTCTGTCCTCATGCATTATTGTCAGCTTTGACGACCTCGGTGGTCTAGCGGTCTAGCACACCGCTTTACGTCCGATGGTCGCGGGTTCGATTCCTCGCAGGGCACAAACATTTGTATTCATGAGTATGATTGTTGTATCGGTCTGAGTGTTTTCTATGTATAATGTGTACCTATGTATTTACGAAAAAAAATCTATGTATTTGTATCAGTTATCGAGTACCCATAACACAAGCTTTAACTAGCTTATCTTGGGTCTAGATGGCGCTGTGTGAATTATCCTGAGATTATTATTATTATTATCTACTTATTTCGTAAATGAAAATCTCGTACAAAGTTACGTAATTGTCAATTATGTACCGAAGACCCAAAAATCTCGCACTAGAATGAGAATCCTAGTAGGTACAGAGAGTTGAAATCTTTTAAGTGTACACTATTCAATTTATACACCTCTATTTTAACTACTAATAGTATTTAATGATCTTCAAAACAAGATGATAGACTGATAATTAGTAATAATTATACTATTGTCGTAAATTGACCAGTATGTCTGCAATGTGGTTCCATCACTATATATTTTCAGGGAGACCGCATAAAGGTGGATGTGCAATTTACCGCATACGTATATTGTTAGTATTCGAACCAATATTACTTTTTAATAAAGGGACTTATTTTCAGTTTTGTAATATTTAATATTAATACAAACTTAAAACTCAAATGTGTGTTTTTGAGTTTTACGAATCTGTAAGTTTTACTATATTTGAAGATATGTACTTTTTTATCTCGAATAACCAATAAATAAATAAAAAACTGTATGTAAATGTGGGCTTTCGTTTTATTGCTGTCTTCATGTAAATCTATATATTACTATATTAAATCTATACTAGGCTGTACGGTCTACTGATCTTTGCTTCCATTATTAAAAAAAGAGATGGACAAATGAAGGGAAAACATATCAATGTTGTCAGCTGTTGTCAAACAAACTGACAAGTCAATGGCTGTATGGGCTGAGTCCTTTTGCCTTTCCCTAAAAAGGGCAAAACAGAACCAAAAAAATAAAACTGACAAGTCAAAAATTTAAATTTTAACGAACTACTTATATCGAATGTTAGCAATTCCTGCGGGTATAATAACACTATAATAATTTTATTGTGTCATTATTTTTAATATATCTTGGTGATTTAGTATAAAGGAACGAAATGGATAATCCACTTACACCTAATAAAATTCAAAGACTTATACATTTGGCTGAAGATAAATCATTCACCATCCCGAGACGATTATTGCTCAATGACGGGGATCTAGAGCGGTAAGCAGAAACTATAGATTAAGTAAGGGAAAGAGTTGAAAACTTACTGGTCAGAGGTAATTAGGTCTGCTGTCAAGAATCAAAGAGAATATGAAAATTAACTTTCTCCTCACTTTGCTATATTATTAAGTACCTCAGTGGTACATGTATATTTATGTACATGTACTATAATCTACATGTAATATTATATTTTCTTAGAATTTATAATAAAGCTGTAAATAAATTGTAAAGGAATACTAATACTTAAATCTGTTATAACAATGTTTATGTAAATATGTTTTATAGACTTGCATCCCATCAACTGGCTCAGGATACATCCTGTAATAAAGAGACATCATCAGGCATCTTAGATTTGGAGAAAGTTGAAGGTACATATAAAATAATTAATATCAATTTGTATATAATCTATTCTATATTTATAATATTATAATATTATTAATTATATATTTATTTATTATTAATTGAATAATTATACTTCTGTGTCCACCTCCCTATAGTTACATATCATAGACCTGTACTGTCGTCTTGATGTCTGGCTGTTGAAATAAATTTAATTTAATTTGTTTGAAATTCTGTTTTATTGCTGGATTGAATGCTATTAACATTTTTTTCCAGCCGACCTTTAGGTGTGAGTGAATATTTGTGGATGGTTAGGTTTGAAGATTACAATGATATAATATGTACTTTTGGAAAGGTGGTGTGTTAGCAAATTGGACTAATAATCCCATTGCTAGCAATTTACCATGTCAAATGGTTCCCTAATGAAACCATTATTGTGATAAATTCCTAGTGATTTTGGCATAATAGGCTAATTGACCAACCTCATGCTCATATTACCATTCTTCACTAGTGTCACAACAACGTAAACTTTAAGGCAGGCAGTGGCATCGCATTATATTCCATAAGTACGACCATAAGACCCTCATATATTTTCCAGGTTTTTAGGGGAACCATGTAGAGGTCAACCTGACTTGGTACATTGTAAAGCATTTATTGTTCCACATTAGTAACAAAACCCTTCCCCTAACATAAATAGATACAACTACTATTATAAATAATGTGTGTTAATATTTAAAATGCTTACAGGTTTTGGAGATTCAGGTGTCAGTAACCTATCATTAAGCAAATCGGTAAGTATTTTGTAACATAAAATATTTAATGATAAATAGACTGTATAAAATTATTTTGTCTATTTGTCTAATGCGATAGACAAGCATTAGATAAATAGACAAAATAATTTTGAATAAATTACATGATCTAAATATTCTAAAAGGTTCTGGGCCATGATTTTTGAGGATAGTATTAGGATAATATAGTTTATGAGTATTATATAACTTATTGGTTTTTGCATTTACCTCATTATCTAGTTGATGAAGATTTCCCCAACATTTCATGTCTTGTAGTTTTTCTCTATTATGTTTGTATCTTATGGAGAAAGTATTTGCAGTAAGACTATTTCTTCAAGATAACAAATAATCTATATTAGTTATTTGTCTGCTTTTTAAGTGAGAAAAGATAGTCTACGCCATCTCCTGTTATAATCTATTTTTGTATAAATTTCCTTAAGCTTATTCAAAAGTTTGAACTATACTGTACTTTACTTTTTCCCATCCTTTTAGATGTGAAAATGTAACAAACATACAGACATACTTTTGAATTTATAAAATATAGTGTGGATTTAGAAATGAAAAATCACTCATATTATGCTACTATAATGTTTCATTACTATTAAACTATGTAATAACATTCAGACCGCTTTCAATCCTGGTGAAATGACGGGACGATCAACTGGCACTGAAGGAGTGGAGTCTAATGTGGATCAGAAGTCAATGGGTTTAAGTGTGCCTCAGATGTGTGAAGAGTATCATCGACATTCCCTGGCCATCGACAGTATCACCAATGAAATGAATAGACAAACAATTGAAATAAACAATATAATGAGACACTCAATTGCTACTAATTATTCATTCCATTCAAAGGTAATGTTTATAGAAAAATATCTCTATTGTATATTTTATTACTACTATATTAATTTATTTCTACTTTTAGACTTACTTTTTACACTGTAAAAAATATGTAGTCTAATACCTTCTAGGGGTTTTTTTCTGTTATCATGGAAAGCGTTGAAAAAGTAGCCCTTACAATAAATTTTTGAACATAAATATAAATTTTGTTACGCCCAAATATATGTCACGTTCTGTAAGACTAATCTACAATAAGATTATATATGTAAGATTTAATACACAGTTACATACCCTATACACAATAACAAAAACACTACTTAGTGGATTTATATTATTTTGTTTCATTCACATGTGCGATCTCAAAATATTCACTGCGGAAACTTGACTACTGTTACGACATTCTCTAATGTTGATCAAATTCGGAAAGGAGGAGCCGTCAGTCAGCCTGATGATACCTCGTTCAGAGGCGAAACACGTGTCGCAGTATGCGTGTAGACTCAATAACGGTCGGATTTGATGACCATTAGAGAAAAAACAAAATAATATAACATTAAGTAGTGATATGCAATTCCTTAAAATAATTTGATAAAATATATAACAAAATATGTACACTGTTTAAATGTGTGTACATATGGGAATGTAGATAGCTAAATGAACTGGACGGTAGGGAAAATTTTATAATGTAAAAAGTTTGACGTTCAAAAGCGGCTAATCTGTCCTACATGTATAAATTATTTTGAATTTGAATTTGAATAAATCGGTTCACTACAACTTCCATACTTCACATTGAGTATAGTGCATACTCAATGTGAAGTATGGAAGTTGTATTTTTAAACCCCTAACTTAATTAGAATTAATTATTTGACAACCTATAATGCTTCTATTTTGTAATTATAGCACATATGCCAACTTTCCCTGACGAAAAGAAGACATACTGTAAAAATGATTGTTTACTGGTCTTATTGAATTTATCTTAATGACGTTATATTTCTGTATTCCTTACTATATAATTTTTCAGATGGTATATAATATACTTTTCAGAGAGATTTAACTGCAGATGAGGTGTCATTAGTGATGAGAGAAGCGCCACTGCCCGTAGTACAACAACAGCAGGCGCATTTTGTGGAGAGTATGTCGTAAGTTGTTTATATGTGTATTACAACAACTACTATTTCAATTTACAACACCAACACTTAATTAAGGATTTAATTTAATAAGAGTTGGTGTTGTAAATTGTAAATTGTTAAAAAATTAAGGATTTAATTTAAAATGTTATGAAGAAAAAAGCTTAGTGCGTGCATTACAAATATATGCATGAATGTCTATTTGTGAATTAGAAGCTATGAAATTAAATGTCCTGATTCCTACTAATATTGTACACACTTAAGTTTCCAAGTTTGGATGGATTAACTACTAGATTAGAATGAAGTTTTGGACAGAGATGACAGATCACTATTGTGTAACAATTAGAATACTTTTAACCCCATTCACAGGAACACCGCTGCGCTACTTCTATTATTGTTATAAAATATTCATAGATTTTTTTTTCAGTATGAACAATTCAAATCAATCTGTTGGAGCTTATTTCAAGAATAGATGTCCGGAATTTGGTAGAATCCTGGAAAAAACTGACAGCCCAGATAGGTCTATGAGACCTAGTATTTCTGATGGTAGTATATGTATGTACATAAATAATAGGAAAATTACTGAATTTTTATATTATCTAGCTTATTAAGCTAAATTCAAGTGGAATTTGGTCAATTTAGGAAAATATTCTTCAGATCTGTGTTGTGGCACTTGTACCCATGTGGGCTGACATACGATTTTAGTTTCTGATATCCAGTATTCTATTTTTATAAGACTTAAATGGCAAACAAATTGACGACCTGCATAAAATATTTTACCATTGCGCTAAAATATTAATTGTAGACATATTAACTAACAATTTTTGCTTTTAACATTAGAAAATTGCAGTTTAATAGATTATTTACATGTTCCGCTCTTACATAATAAATAAATAATGATAAATAACAATAAAAGTAAATATATGTTATTTGTATCAGCAATGCATGGTTAGTTTCCATGTTTCAGCACTATATCCATGTTATAAGTTCTGCTCATTTTTAGATTATTTTGCATCACTGCATATTAATCAAGAAATTTGTAAATTTAATTCTTTAAATTCTAACAGTTAAAAGACGACGAACTCGTACTTTTACTGTTATACTAGATACTTACATATTCTTCAAAATGTTTCAGTATCAAACAACACACCATTGGATCCAATAGCAAAATCTACGAACATCTACAAAATGAACCAAACATTAGACAGCGTACCAGTGAAATTACCACGTACAACAAACGTTGAGAAACCACCTCCACATGAGTTTATTAATAATCTAAACAATACCAAGACATTGGAGAAGCTTAGCAATTATAATACTGCTAAAATAATCAATCACAGTACATGTAGCATCAAAGCAGAGAAAAAGTTTGATAATGTGGCTGATATACAAAATAATGTACCTATGACTTCCAACATGTCCCTAAACCTTGATGCTAGTCATAAACCATTAATGAACTCAACTGCCAAACCTACAGATATTCTGTTAAGAAATCTCCAGTCCTCGTTACGTTTAGCAACTGAGGATACTGAAAGCTCTGTTGATAATTCATTCAGTATTTCAAAAATAGCAGATTATCTAGGTAAGTGAATGTAGAAAATAAAACTATGTATGTCTGTGTTTAATTATAGCTATTTGACTATAGATTAATTATTCAAAATCCATTCCATTTTAGGAGTAGACGTTGTCTACGTAGTTCTAATATTATGTAGTTCGAATTTTTCGTAAGTCAATATGTTTTATTTCTATAGTCTAGTAAATGATTACTATCTATAATAGAATATCAAGGATGTTATTTCCTAATTTTTGCTTATTTTTTTGCACATATCCTTTAATAATAATAATATACTTTATTGCACTTATTACATTAATAAACAAAGACAGTTATTCAATAATGTGAGCAAGGGCGGGCTTATCTCTGCAAGAGATATCTTCTAGCCAACCTAACGCTGTGACAGAGGTGGTAGTTAGCGGGCAACGATAGTGCTTGAGATTTTGTTTATTTTGATAGATAACAATATTCTAATGTATACTTAAAAAAAAAAGACATACACACTTACTAAATATATAAATATTAATACAGTAATAATAGCTAAACATTAATACAATACATTTAATAAATAAATATTATATTATAAATATAATAAAATAATAATAATAATAAAATAAATGCATACATATATAAGCAACTTTAATTTTTTAATTTGTGAGATTAACTTTTAATTTTTTTTGTTCAATTTCACAATTTTACTAAACTTCTAAAGTAATCATATAAAATAATATTGAACCTATATTTACAGGAAAACAATCTAATATAAGTATTACAGACTTGTTGCGACTGAACAAACATAAAGAAAATATGAACAAAAAGCAACCACTCACTGAGCTACATATGAATGCACTGGAGAATAGAATGAATAGAGATGTTCAGCCCACCCTTTTAAAGGATACCAAAAATATGGCTGCCGCCAGTTCAGCTGGAAGTGTCGATACCGTTATATGTGTTGACAAGTTAAATATCGATAAGGAATCCATTCCTGCATTAGTTGTGACCCAAGTTCATGCCAATGATATAGAAAATATTGGAACAGAAAATGTTAAAGAGAAACGAAGCTCAACAAGATCAAAGTCGCCATCCAGTAAGAGTCAGTCCACTCTTAGTACTGTCCAAGAAAACTATGTAAGCTTCAAATCAAATGATAGCCCAGTCCAAACAAGTAAAGGTAAGCAAATATGTAGATATTATAAATATGTAAACAACTTTATTCATTTGTGTGTTTCTATTATTATAATAATTATATTATGTTAGGTATATATTTAGTTAAAATTTTCAGGCGAAACTAATACATCTCATGTACCCTCCCCAAATGTTGAATATAAAGAGTTAGATAAATCTGTAAATTGGCACGAGATGTTACAACATACGCACTTGAAATCCGACTATTTGGCTAAAGGTTTGTGGGGCTTGCTTCAATCAAACTCATGGGACTAATAACAATCATCTTACATCTAACTAACCTAAGTACTAACTTAAAATTTTATTAAACTTCGATAATGCATTTTTACATACAAAATCTATTAACATACAGAAATATCCTTGTTGTAACTTAAATATATATTATTAACATAAACAATTTTGTTAATTTATTTTTATTTCATTTCAGAACAATGGGCGGAAATATTAACAACAGCGACCAATGGATTTGTAGGTAAGAGTAACTTTTGCACTAGATTCTAGTATCCTAAATTAACGTGACAACATTAAACTAAGTGTGCTCATTATTTCTTTTTGTATTTATAGGAGTGAGTTGTCCTGTTATTATAACAATAACAACACTCACAGATAGTTGGTTGACAGCAAAGTTTCAGTTTGATGAATTACCAAATAATGGAAAAGATCTTTCTATAGAAGCGCCTCGTTTCCCATTACTGCTGTCTCCAGGCAAATCGGAACAATTTACATTGCAGTTGATGTCTAGTGTCGAAATGAATGTCTCTATTCCATTCACGATATTTTTAAAAGATGCTTCAATAGAGGATGACTGCGAACAAAAAGGAAACATACAAATTAATATAAAAATGCCCATGATACAGGCTATGTCTAGTGATGGTTTAAATAAAGTTGTATTTTCACCAACACAAGAGAAATCATCGCTTACAAGACTGTTTGTGGTAATGAGCGATTGTTCAGAAGATCTGCAGTTAGATTTAACAGTTTTTGAAGGTGATAGCATGTTTTTGATTAAAAATGTACAAGAAATAAAGAAATGTGATATCAATAAAGTACTTATGGATCATCCAACGGGCGTGGAAGACGTACAGCAACCTGGAAAAATTAAATCCAAAGCTCTAAATAAACAACTGTGTAGATTAACAAGAGGCAACGCAATTAAGGTTACAATTACGTTCATGGCGCCTTCATTATCGGAAATACAATTGAGTAAGTTTTTAGATATTTTCCCTGTTATTAAATTTATAAACATAAATTCCTGATTAATTACTTCAAATTCAAATTCAAAATTATACCTATTTTATTTTGCTGTAGTGTTCTTAAATTAGATACAGTTTGAACTTTACAGTTTGAATTACTATTGCCCTAATAGTATACATATTCGTCTATGTTTTTTGTTACCTTTTCAAGACTAAACGGCCAAATAAACTCCTTTTTTGACGATACATCATATCTCGAGGATGGATAATAAAAACAGTCAAAGTCACTAGTATTTGCTAGTGGTTAAAAAAATAAATATAATATTTAAATATAATATAATATTAATGTTTCTTGATATTATGTGAATATTTGTGTTATACCCTGTAATTATTTTGCAGAAGATTCCGTGGCTACATTCCATGGGGCACTAAATGTACATCTGATCGGTATTAAAACGGTTTTGAGGAAAGTGGACCTTATTGCAACTGTGGGATCGGTCAACTTAGTTGTAAATAACTTGACCAGTAACAAACTGCAACTCAGTCATGGTAATTTTTTTTTTAATTTATATATACCCATTTTCTAAAAACGCGCTAACTGTATACGCTCGCGGTTTCATCTATTTCAGCCGCCAGCAGCTTGCGTTGTAAGCGGTGTTACGCCACTGAAATCAGTCAATTTGAAAGCATAACGTCTTTAGTCCTCTGAATTAGCAACGCATAAGTGATATACATATATTATAAATGCGAAAGTTTGTGAGTATGGATAAATGGATGGATGGAGATTTGTTACCTTGAAGACACTTTACATCAAGTCATATATCTTATATCCTGTAAATTTGCACGCGGGTGAAACCTAGTATAATATAAAATATAATGTATTCTTGAAAACGCCCACATTATTACATGGATAAATTGATTGTATCGTACGGAGATGGCATGCAAATTGAATTTTAAATCGCTGCAATACAAAGGTCAAAATATTTTTATTTTCAGCAATGACTACTATCAACGTATCCAATACAGGATCAATATCGGGTACATGGATAGTCAAATTTAAGAGCGACAGTAATAGTACTTTTCCTTTCAAAATTACACCATCCAAGTTTGATTTACAACCTAGCAGCTCCACATCTATAAATATGTTTTACACTGGAGCTGCTGACTGTGTGACTGATGCGTAAGTATATGTTTCGTGTAATATAACAGTATCTGCATCATATGATTCCGCAATTGCGTCAAAAGCGTACGTAATATTAATTTTTTTTTGAGGATAAAATGTAAAAGCACTAAAACAAAGTATGTACTTTATTTTCGATAATTTTCTTCAACGTATATATGAATATCTGCTGTAAGTAACTATTAAGAATTCATTTAATTTTTTAGTATACCACATGGTACCGATTTATGATAAAAATATAAAAAATACTGCCATCCACCATCTCCTAAAAGTGAATATTTAATTTTTGTCTGTCGGTTACCTGTAATGTTTATTGTTAATAAACGCTTAATAATCACCACAAAAATCAGTGATATCACAATTAGAAAAATCATTAGAAACCACACAGATGTAATATCGTCTGATTATATTATAATATATTGTTTAAACCAAGAAAGTATTAAAACACAACAAAATGATTGTTACAGAATAGTTATATTTGAAGATGTTGTTACTGGTAAAAAAACAACCATGGACATTACCGGTGGCATAGAGAAACCAAAATCATTCCCGATTAAAACTAACTACAATATTATGTCTTGGGTACGCGCCGGTCGCAAGGAATTGAGTTTAAAAAATTCCACAAATAAAAAAGTGTACATAAAATGCCAAATAGTAGGTGAAGGTTTTTCGATAGATATGCCCGGTGTGGAGTCACGAGGCAGTTACATATTATCTTTTGGGCCCAACGAATGCAGACCATTATCTGTCATTTTTACGCCAAATTCCACGTTGCCCCATGCAGCAACATTATATTTAGTGTTCGATAAGAACAGCGATTTTACACGAAAGGTAAGGATACAATATGTTTAATAACATTACTTCATATATGTTTGCATGGATTGCGTTAGGTATAGGGTTATTGGTGTACATGTAGCAAATCTGCTGGTGGAGTACGATAATGCCATGCACTTGTAATATTATTAAGTTTTTTTCGAACTATTTTAAGGCTGCAACTGGTTTTTCCACGCCACTTTTCAGACCGAACCGCCTGAAAATCATGTTAAATTCTTGGTGAATTTGCCACGATGGGACAACTGACCTGACCATATATTCATCTTATCATCCTCCATTGGTGCCCCGCCAACGTAAACCGTTCGCGCAGACGTGTCCACCATTCCATTAACATCCCTTAAAAAAACCACACTCTGTGTCTTTTAAGGGATCTATGTATGGAATAGAATAGAATTGAATAGAAGATCATTTCTTCAAATAAACTTAATTTAAGCACTTTTGAATAGTCATGACATTTCTTTATTATCCACCCTTCATTGGGAGAGCTATCTCATCACAAGAATAGAACGGTGCATCCGTATGCGTTAGCTAATGACTAACGCGGGGCGAGAGGGAAGGTTGAAAAGGGCATGGTATAGGGAGGTAAACGAGAGAGATTCAGTCGCCGGACGGGCCTCGCTGTACCGCGTAACACGGGCGCCACACGGGTCAGAGAGTCGTCTCCTATCCCATCGAGGCGAGGCCCGTCCGGTGACCGAATCTCTCTGGTTTCTCTCCTTATACCACTGTCTCGTATGGCGAGCCGTTTCCGAGCGTCGCCTCCCCGCTGGGCATGTTGTACCACGTGGCGCGCGTGTCAGGTGGCGCTGTGCGCGTGCGCGGGCGGCGAGGGCGCGTGGTGGCGCGGGCCGGTGACGTGCGGCCACACGGCGCTGGTGCGCGCCGCCGCCGGCGCCTCCGTCGCGCTGCCGCTCTACAACCGCGCCGCCGCGCCCGCGTTCGTGCTCGCCAAGGTGCATTTCAACTGTAAGTTTACATATCTTCGTTACTTACCCTCGCAACATCGTCTGCATCACACTTACTTCATTATCGTTATACTTCGCCCGATTTACATAATATTTTTAAGCAATATTGCTGTAAAGTTTCATGAAAATCCATTCAGTAGTTTTTGCGTGAAGTAGTAACAGATAACAATCCATATTAACAAACTTTCGCGTATATGATATTAAGTAAGTAAGATTAGCTGCCTTTACATATGCGCTATTTCACACGCGAATAGGTTTTTGCGCAGGAAAGAATGTGCCTGTAAATGTAGACACAGAACGAGAAAAATTGCACGCGCCGTTTGCGCAGCAACTCGCGCATTCCCGCGTTTATCAATCGTGCAAGATTTATTGTCTTTCTTAGTGTATAATTATTATTGCAATAGGCGAAAATCTGATCTGGAGCAGAAACATAATTATATAGAGTTATAAATCTCAAACATGTCAATGGAATATAAAATTTTAAAAAGAAGCTGAATTGACATTAATCATATGCGGAAACTCGCGCGAAAGAGTGTAAATAGAAAATAGTTAAATACAGTGACTCACATTTGCACGCTCTGACATTCCCGCGCGTATGAATATATGTATGAATGATTTGTCTAAAGGCAGCTACTAGGCATGTGACTCTACTGTTTATCAGGCGTCTATACTTTATGGTAACTGTTTACCATCAAACAACAGTATAACAAACTTTGATTAATTGATGTGTGGTGGTACTGCGCAGTGCAATTCACGTGCGCGGCGCAGAGCGCGCGACTGGAGGGCGCGGCGGCGGTGGTGCGGGCGCGCGGCGGACACGTGGTGACGCTGGCGCTGCCGCCGTCGCTGTGGCCGCGCCTCGAGCGACGCGCACGTGACGCCGCCACCACCGCCACGCTCGCCACACTCACGCTGCTCACCGGCGCAGAGACCACGCGGCGGCGCATACTCAAGTCAGTCTCGACGACCGTTGCCACATTGTTATAGATCTTTCAGATAGCGCGGTTAAGGCAATGGGGAGTGTCCAAGGGAGTTTTATTAAAAACAAGAAGTGAGCCTGTAGATATAACATTTAAATGACTAACCTGCTTGGTATTGTTCACTCATCAGGATTTCTTCCTGTACATGAAACTAATTTTGAAATTAAATAAACTTCATACATGTAAAAAGTTACAATGTTTTCGGTTAATTGATTTGTTAAAGTATCAAGATTGTATACTACATTCAACTTTGTATACTAATATTGACTTCTCGGAATAATATGTCATGTATTACTTAATTGTTATGATTAGCCAATTCGGAATTGAGAAGGATGTAATAAACTATTTGTACAAAATATTTCACATATTTATTTATTTATTTAATGGATAAAATATATTATATATAAGTTGCGAATATTCGTCAACGATTTAAACCATTAATATAAGCGTTTATGTGTTAACAGAGTTCTAAGAGATGAGGGACAGAATGGGGAGCTGAATATTTCACTGTTACCAGAGCACCTACGGTCACTGGCTGGTCAGTTTGAAGGGGAGGACCCTACTTTAGATAATTACTTAGCAGATTTCAAGGAAACCAAGGTAAAGACTAAAGAAGAACCTTCATCGTTTGATCCTATAATTTATCAAATCTATTTTAGATATAATTATATTTCACGTGACAGTAATATTGCCACAATAAAGTTTTCACTAATATCTAAAAGTGATTTGGTTTGTAGAATATATCTTTTTTATTGGAAAATTGCAAAGTGACTGACACTTAAAAACATACTAAATAACAATTACTAATTTATGAATTAAATAAATATAAATTGCATTTAAACTACTGTATACTATGTTAACAACAAACAATATTATCCATACAGGGATACAGTAATAATGTGTTGCTTTTTCTAAGTGTAGTTTACCCTTTGTACTCGTATGTCCCCGCACGGGGGATATATAAGGGATATCGAATCTCAACTGTTATGCTAATTCAAAATTATTTACAAACTTTCTAAAGCATAATTAAAAGTGCAAAGGGTTAATATTACGAGTAGGATTTACTTTATTATACTATAATGGTAATGTATATTGATATATTGTTTCAGTCATCTCTCGACGAATTGATAGGTGGTCTCCAAGAATTGACGGCACAAATCGACTTACCTCAAGACTTCGCCGATGAGAATACAATCATCATCTGTGACGACTCTATGATAGAACATCATACGCTTTATGATTAAGTTTAAAGTATTTATATTAAATTTAGCATTATTATTAGTCAAAGCCTTGTACATTTTTATTCCATATAGTTTTTATTGTTACTGTAGGATTGGCATTCGAAAACTTAACAAGAGTTTAAAAAAAGTTTCTTTTTCTCCTGCTCTTTATTAAATTCTAATACTGCAATAGCATGACGTATATTTAAAACAAAATACTACGCCGGTTGTGAAATAACAAGAATATTCAAGATAATAGTAAATTGCTGGTCAGTTCTATTTTATTTTAACTATGTTATCCAGAAGTAATATATTATAAGTGGGCAATAGACTCCGTCAATAATATCCTCGATTAGTGTTCGATATTAGATATTTTATGGACTTTATTTTATAATGATGATATGATTTTTTAATTTACGCTGCAGTGATTTGTTTCTATTTATAAGAATAAAATTAAATATATGTGCTGTAATAAGTTTATTATATTTTATCGAGTTCCATTTCATTACATTGTGGATTTCTATTTTGTTTAATTCTACTATCATCACTATGTGTGAGATCAGAAATACTCAGTGCAAATATTACACTACAAATATTGCAATGGCGGTTTTCAGGTTTTTGCACTGAAACTTTTTGGTGTTTTACACATGCCAATGGTATTTATACATGGAATTAAAACAAAATAATACAAATACATAAATTTTATATATTAAGCACAGCACCCTTATTTTATGTTAATCACTATATTTCGTGTCAGTGTTAATTTATTCCGTCCATTATAGGAATACATACATTGTGAAAAATTGCAATGTAAAATTTCCTTCTTTCTTATTAAAAAAATAAAAAGCAATTATAATTTATATCATTTATTATTTTCTTAACCAGTATATTTACTCCAATCGTTTTCCTATTTTTTTTAATCATTGTATCTAAGAGATTCGTCTGTCGTCGAATTATCCATTAGAAATTTTATGACCATTAAAAATATTGCCTACAACTTATAAAACTAAAATGCATTTCCATTTATAATAATGTCATTCAACACGGCAAAATGATATCCATTCATATATATATATTTATACACAGACTAAATGGTGGACTTTAAAAGATTAATTTTTCTAATATGTATTCAAATCTTTTACTATAAACCCCTTTTTAGGACACATGTAAAAGATACAGAATAATAAGCTATACAAGAAAATCGTTGAAATAAAGTTTGGTGTTTCAGAGGGGTTTATTGTAAAAGATCGAATCAAAAACACATAGAGCTTGGTGTATATTATCATGATTATATCCTCTTATACAACAAAAATATTCTTTTTAACGCACAACGCACAAAATACGTATCACACGAACACGCTGTCACTACTTGCATACTTCACGCGTTCGCACTCGCTCGCACATCCACACGCCTCGCATTTGGCAGTTTATCAAATTCATTCTTACAATAATGTTAATATTCACGTTAAAATCACTCACAGTACAAAATGCAATGCGACTCAATTCACCGCCGTCAACTGAAACTTATTCGAGTAAAAAATACAATATATATATGAGACGAGCGATAGAACGTGAATGCCAACATTGTACAAAAGTGAACTCCACACGGGATGTCTACTTTGCCGTACAATCTACATATGAAAAATCTTATTAAAATGGAAGTACTTACACATCTTTATAAGGTTAACATACAACTAATTTGGGTCAAAATGGCTGACGATTCGATTAGAACAGTGCTTTGAAAATACTATCTTCATTAAATTATTGCATTTATACCTATTAGTCTAAAAGTCGCAAAAGAAGACAACGAGGAGATATTAATTTGCAATATATCCATCTAATATATATACTAAGTTTTAGAAATGTACAGCTAAAATAATCCCCGGATGACACGTTCACTTGCGGATAAAGTGCGCATAGTCATATTTATATACATAATAACACACTCACACGTTTTTACATTAGGAATTAGACATACTAAACTAAAAAAATAAACCAGTCACTTAATGAGCTATAAAATAGTATGTAAGATTGCCAACGATACACTGGCCTAGTGTGCGATAAGCGAATCGTCGTCGATCGCATCGCTATTGTTATAAGAACAATGACATCTCTAATAATATAGTTATAATTGCCGAGGCTCGTGAGTTAGTCGCTGTTGTTCATTTTAAATTATTTCTTAACAAGTAAAATACTTTCTCTGCGTAAACTATCACATCTAGTCGAAACAGAGATCGTATTTCGTAAGAGATCAATATGGCTTTAAACACGTGCGGTTCGCATTAGAGTTGATCAATGTTAACATAAGTATTAGCAATAGAATGCCACATCTAACTTATAATTATAGTGCCGTAAATAAATCGCTCATAACTGTTAGGTAACGAAATAGGTTCATACTCGCCCACCACTGAACGATGCCAGCTGTCTGATTCAGCTCGGCAGAGTCACAACACTCAATAATAAATTGAATAATTTAGACATCGGTGCAACACAGGTAAATGGATTAGAAAATAATTATATGCATTAGGTACAATTCAGTTACAATGGGCTAATTTCAATTTGTCATTAAAGTATAATTATCACAGATATTTAAATAAAAGTAAAGTATTCATGTCGTTGATATTTAATTGGAATTGTTGCAGTGTGTCTCGAAATAATTACACCTAAAATGGTCACCGATTGATATCGGAGCATGCATATCTCGTGTCGTGTATTGTAAGCTAGTTTCTCGCTATGTATCCAGTACCTTTAACGCGATTTAGCTTCGAGGACTGACTTCGATTTTGTAATACTTTTCAACTGAAGGCGTCGAATAAAAACGTCACCGTGTGAGACGAAGAGTTATTCGAGTCACTATGTACGATTGCAACTGCAATTACTTCGCCCCCATGCGCTTCTTTAGAATCTATAAAAATATGGATACAACACAAATATTTAGAGTATGCAACGTCGGGTGTTACTGATTTTACTTATCATTAATTAATAGGTAGACGAGGAAGCGGACGGATCGTCAAAATGTCACTTGTTGCGTCGCCTCGATATCTCTTGTTTACTATTTTAACAGTTCGCAGCTTAATGTTCGCACTGAGACCGCGACGTCGCTCGCGGGGTCAATCGAGGCACTCGTTAAACGTCACGTCGAACTTCCACTGTCAATCGCGTACGGGATCCAAGAGCACTGTCGCGGGTGGTTCCGGCCGGCGCGGCCCTAGGGCGGCGCGGGCGGGGCGGCGGGCGCGGGCGGCGCGGGGGGCGCGGGCGGCTAGGGCGCGCGGTACAGCAGGTAGGCCGTGAGCGCGGGCGGCAGCGCCAGCCGCGACGCCGCCGCCTGCAGCCGCGGCCGCCCCACGCGCTGCCGGATCACGCGCCGGCACAGCTCCATCAGCGGCAGCGGCTCCGCTGTAATCGCACCATGCCACGTGTTACGATTGCCATTTAGCAATTGAGTTTCAGTGTATATCACATCGTATATCATTGTTACATTGTTTTAATGATATGGTGATCAATTCTCTATTTATATGATATCTATATTAGTTCAATTTTAATACTAGTGTAATATGGTATATATTACCGATCCTAAAAAAGCTTTTTACGTGCGCTCAACATGTTTTAACCACACACCCTAGGAATTGTAAGGCATATGCGGTATTACGGTCGTCACATGGCCACGTGTCGGCCGTGGCGGTGTTCATAGGCGATAGATACTACTTACAAGCATGTGACCAAGTGGGTTATTGCACCAGTTGGTAAAAGTACTTACATAAAAATAATTATAACGCACGAATATATGTATATTTGAAACGATATCACTATTATATCTCTGAGACGTGGACTCCTAATAACATAAGTGATAGAGATATGTAAACTCACGATCGAGGCCGCCAATGTACTTCATGGTGATTTCTGCATGCCCCCACACGGCCGACACGATAGGATAGAGTGTGTTGCCGCGGAGGCCTCTCGCGGCGACGCCCAGGTAGCGACCGTCCGCGCAGAACGCGAGCGTGCCCTCGTCCATGTCGAGCACGACCAGCAGCCGGTCGGGCACCAGGAACTGTTCGTCGGGCCGCAGCAGTGCTGGGTACGTAGTGCCGCTCCCGCCCGTGCCTTTAGCGTTGTGATACACCTGAAATTGAAAAATATATATTATTTTTTCCATTCAATTGAATAATTACGACTACAGATCCGATTATAGCGCGATCTAGGTAGTGAGTATGTCACATGTTACTGCATCGTAGGGATATACTTGATTAACAAGTTTAATATAACAACAACAACAAGCAATATATAACAAGTTTTCTAATATAAAGTTAGTATAATGTTATGCATCAGAATATTAACTATCAAGAATTTTCATTTGAAATATATTAACATAAGTTACGTGTTTATGTAGTTTATTTTGCAGTTGCATTTAGCTTGTAACGGCAACTCTCAAATGGTTTATACAAAACCGTAAAATTAATTTTATTTTGTTACAATCAAGAATTACCTATGAAGAAAAAAATATCTCTAATAATAAGTTTGGTGGTTTAAACATAAGTGACCATGCACGTGATATCCCTGTTGTTTTTACCATCAGATGGGCCGTTTGCAGCCTTCGTAGTATAAAAGAAAACCATGGACGTACCTTATTTCTGCCTAGATCCCATCCCCAGCTCTGGTCAGTGGCACCGACTAGGCTCTGGTAGCCGACGGAATGCAGAGGCGCATGTGCAGTGGCAACTCCGACGACGGCGTGTGTACCACGCTGCCTGGCCGGCCACACCACCTCCCAGCAGTGGAGTCCGCGCGAGTACCCCACGCGGCCCCGGATACAGTCCGTACTTTGCGCTACTGGATGTCGGTGGAACGTTAACGCATCCTCTTCTTTTACAAATATATTTAGTGATCTGGAATTTATTAAATGGTCGTCAGATTATTGATATATTTATCACAGATACGCGAAATGCGATAGTAATAAATTCAGTGGATGACGCCTAGATATATAAGTATGCAAGTACAATAGTGTACATTTACATTTTGTTCTCACATGTTACATACGTTACTCTAAGATAGATAATACTGTATGTAATATCGGACAAAGGAAGCGTAACGCAATCGAAATGGTATAAAAATATAGGTTCGAAAAGCCATGGTGGGTACTATTTATGTTTATACACGACCACTAATAATTTTCAATAATTTTCAACACTTGGCGTTTTCTTTGTCATCTTGGTTCGATATGTTTCGATATTTCACTTTAGAGATGCTTCTGAAGAAGAGTTAGATCTAACAGTAATATTTTGTTATGATAATTTACATTGTTATATAGATATCCAGATTAACTTTGAATATATTTTATAGTACTTCAAATTATATATATATAATAAAGGTAATTTATCAATTTTAATCTTATAGTATACACACAAAGGTACATAATTTTATAATGATCCGTCACTTTATGACATTGGAATTACAACTACAATGGATTTGTTCAGCGTTCGTGGATCTTACAAATTAATATTATCTATTTAGATTTCCCTATTCAAAATTGCTGTTGCATTGCAACCAAGGTTTTATGTCGGAAATCTCACATTACAAGGATTACGGAATAGAGAAGCGTTTCGTAAACTGTATCTTAAAATAGATGAAGCGATGTGGACTAACGGAAGAGTTAGAAAAAATGTAGCGTCAATGTTGAACATTACACGATTGCGGTACCTATTGTCTTTAGCGTGGTGTAATCACATGAAGTAACCGTCCCGTTTAAGTGTAATCAGATCCGTGAAGAAATAGTAGGAAACAAGAATATTTTCTGTATTTAATATATAGCTACGTATACTAAATGAATAACAGTAACAAATTGTACATTTAAAGAAAAAAAATGCAATAGGTAGTTATTTCATTGTCGATATTATTTATGCATAATGCACATGGTATTTAATCATGTATGCCTTCAACAGAATCGGTGACCACGCCTACTTAGACTTATATATGTTCAATTTGTTACTGTATAGGCCTACTTTGTTTTGGCTAAATATTAAAAGCATATGCGGAATAGGTAATAGTATTATTTAATAATATTCACGTTTCACGGTTGCTGCAGCGCACGATTTGTAGGATACTAATCGGTTAAAGCTGCCTATAAGGCTTGTTATACCAGGACATGAGTGTTGTTAATGTTTATAACGCATAGTTTTCTAGTCAAATACAAAAATGTGAGAATCCGTCCGAATTAGTTTATCATCATTATTAAAACAAAAAAAAATAAACAACGGTTCAATACAACAACAATAAACGCTATCAGTTTCATCTACTCTGAATGACTTGGTTATATATTTCGTCAATCTCAAAACTTTTATTGTGTTTTTGGAGGATTGCTTAGAAAAGAAGAAACTAATATCATATATTATAGGCCCTACAGAAAACTACACTAAATGTGAACAATCACTGAGTGCTAACAAGTACAGGGGATGAACTCTTTATTTGTGGCAAAGAGGGCTATGGTATGGTATGGTATGTTTCTGTGTTAAAAATATTCGATGGTACACCATACCTGTCATCTGGATTCCATGCATGTTTGAGCTGGAGCTCGGGATGCGCGGGCGGCGCGTCCAGTAGCGCGTCGAGGCGCGCGGGCCGCGGAGGTTCCGGCGCCAGCTCTCGCGCCACCACCGCTTTGAACGGCGCCGTGCACTCGCGCGACACCGACTTAACACCGCCGGACAGCTTTTGCCCCATGTTCATGCCCCTGCAGCGAGTGCGGGCGCGCTTCGGCAGCGCCTTGAGGCCGCCGCGCCGCGCCTCTTCCGCGCCACCGCCGCCCCCGCTCCTCACTGAGCGCACCCCGCTCTTGTACCTGGAAACAAACAAAGATGCAATTGTAGTTACATGGACATCAGCAAGTACTTCACCTGCGTTAACAACCACAATATTACTTCTACCTAAATATAAAAGGTCTTCGTGAGTGTGGCTATTAATTGACCATGCAGTGGTCAATCTGTATTATAATTATTACTTAATTCTATTATGGAAGTGCGAGAAACCGGTTTGTGCGTTAGTGAGTGGCATCTATGTCGTCATAGCAGATGCCGGGGCGTCGGCTTCGGAGTAGCCCGCTCATCTTATGTAACTAGCGACCGTCTAACCGTGAAAGTCACCGCTCAAAAGCCAAGGTTAACATGGCCCTGGAGCTCGCTCCAACACATGCGAATGTTCTATTACCGCAGATTTAATTGCTCTTTATTTATCCTTGACCATGATATCATGTAATTGTATATTAAATCCTTCGTAATACATAATAACAAGTTGTGTGTTAGTTGGTATTGTTTTTTTATAATATAGTATAATAACTTATAGAATCAAAGTGGATATAATTCTAGGCTGCACATAGAATAAAATTAAGTAAAGCTAAGAAACATGTTAGCGTTTGCGCGCACAATCTATGTGAGATGGGAAGGGACGCCTAAAAGGCATGCAGACCACAAGGCCGTCTGCCTTTCCGATGCCTAGAGCGCCTGCATGACAAAAGCGGGAAGTGAAAGGCAGTGAATGTGTCCCCTCCCGTCGCGTCGCCACCGCTGCAAGCCGACATCGCTGTTGAACAAGTTAATGTTCCTAGAATGGCGCTGTGGCTAGCCTGGCAGTGTTCATTAACTTTTCGACAATAACCGTAACCCTACGTTTATTGTCGAAAAGCATGTAGATAATGTCATAGACACTGTGATTTCTAATAATAATAGTGTACCTCCTCAATATATACATACACAGAAGTCGCCATTTTTATGTTCCTTTTGTTTATTAAATATTTTCAAGTACCCTCAAATGGGTTGAAGTTCAAAATCAGTGTTATGTTCGCTGAACAAAATTCCACAGTGAGTTTAGGGCCTTTTTGTATTGCTGCGGATCACAAACAATGACAAGAAATTCTTATAGTCGAACTTTACAATAATCAAATAGTTATAGAAGTTAGAAACCGGGTTCTTTGGTCAGATCAAATAGTTCTCTTAGGTTGTAAATATAAATTTCTCATATATAAGAGTAGGTATTATATTACGAGAACTAGGCACTTATAAAATATACGTGGTCACGTTGGTAATCCTACGTGTATGTTGTAATAGACTCGGAATCGATTATCAGATGTCTGGAATATGACATACATACCATACAGGTCAGTCTAATATAAGTAGGTACATGTGACTTACCCGGTAGTAAATAAACAGACGTACATGCGATTGCCGATAGCGCTATGACGTCATAGGAGGTCAGGAATTATACGACGCGTACAATATAAAGTTTAATTGGATTTGCGGTTTATAAAACATTAATTTAAGTGTGTATAAAATATTACCGCTCCTCTTGCTTAATGAGGTTTTGTGGTTACTTTCCGTTCATATACGCCAATTTAGAAAGGTTTGAATTAACCCGATCAGTTGTTAATTTAGCATTCTTTATTAATACTACATAGATATTTCTAACTAAAGATAACTATTGTTTCTGCTAAAATGTCTCTTGAACGTAAAAACTGCTTTGTTCCAATAAAATTATCAGCAAATTCACAATGTGTTGACTCGTACGTTCTCGGTACGTAACAACAAACTAATGATGTCACTTTGCAACTGATACGTTCTAACCGTGGGAAACTAGTTCGTGTAGAGACAGATAAAAGTGTAGTTATGTACATGTTGATAAAAGTACAAATCAAAATGTATTTTTTTCGTCTAAGTAAATGTAAAACCCGGGTGCGGCTGTATGCAATACCGTTCACGCTCGGTGAGAGGTGAATGGAACAGGCGAATGTTGCTAGGCCGACAACATTAGCGTGTGCCAACGCGCCCGAACAATGAACTAGCCAAATGACGCTCGTCTCGTGGATGTCACTAATGTAAATACAGAAACTCACGTTGTAGTTTCATGCTGATAGAAACAAGCCTTATTAACACACCAGTTTTTTTAGACTGCTTTAAGTATTATGAGTTTTTATAATTTCAAAATTGACATTTTAACAACCAATCATTGCTTGTATTCACCATTTATAATAAGTACATATATACATGAATAGAGATCACAATATAATTCTAGTATATTCATGAGAATTGTTCGATAAGTCCTAAGTAATAAGTGGACATTTAATGAGAACTTGTCCCCTATAAAAAATGATGTTATATTTCTGTGTACTAATTTATTATCTATACATCTGTAATTTCTGGAGATATTCATTCTTCTTCAATATTTTTAATTAAAAAGGTAGTAACAGTACACATTTTCTGTAAATCAAACTATCACGAATACAGGTTACATCGAGGGTCCAGGTAATAACAAATAGAACACTGATTGCCAATGTTTAATTTTATACGCAAACAAAAACGACAGCTACAGCAGAAATTGAAACGTCCTGAAACTGAATTGAATACAGAACGAGTCTGTGGAGGGTGGATTAATTGTTAATTGGATCACAGTACCTATATTTATTATTGAACCAAATTTAAAACTCTACAATACCAAACAGTGCTTAATTGGAGAAATAACGATTATTTTGTATGACAGAATATGATATTTTATGTTAAAAATTAGGTAATATCTTATTTTCTTCGGGCCATATTTTGGCAGCGTTTACAAAATCGAGAAATCGAAGGCGTAGTGTATAACATAAAATGTTAATATTTCTTGAGTGGAATGTAGAAAGTGGCTCTCTGATATAAGGGTCATCTTGCGAAATGCTTTTGACCGAGCCATCTAGGGACATATTAAAATATTGCATGTACTTCTGAACTTATTATATAATTAAACAAACTTAAGTGTTAACAGTAATTAATATGTGACGATTAAAAGAAAATGTTATGACCAATTATTATATAATATATTCGTTTATTACAGTCCATTTAAATGTAATTTTAAATATTGTTTAAGGCTATTGTTTCATAGGATTGAGTACATAAAACAAGCAAATCTAACCTAGGCACATATAAGTAAAACTCGCCACTATTAGGTAAATACATTATGATTAGATAAGGCCCGTGGGTACGGTTTACACGCGATGTGCTGAACATTGAGATCATATCTATCCAATGATGAAAATTGTTTACACTTGAATTTCTTTTTGGTAGACATATTTTTTTTTTGTTATATGATTATGGAGTTACTTAATGATTAAATCGCTAAAATTAAAAGTAATGTGTATCCATTATGTTACATACGTTTTTATATTTTATGTCTTAAATCTTATTTTCATCTTTCTTTTATCAATAAAATAATTTACATCAGATATTTCGAAAATCTCAATCTATTTAATATAATATAATAGATTATATGTCAATTATAGGTCGAAATCTTACTTCTTACAAAAATTATAAACGCGAAAGTTTTTGAGTATGGATGGATGGATGTTTGTTATTCCTTCACACAGTCGACTAACTTCTGAACGGATTTTAATGAAATTTTACAGTAATATAGCTGAAACATCAGAATAACACAACGATATTGTGTAAATTGGGCGAAATATATGATGTTACATATACATGTACAAATGTCAAGTGTGATGCAGACGAAGTGCGCGGGTCAGCTAGTCATACACATAAATAAAATGTTTACTGTAGCAGTGTGTAAATTGCAAACAGTAAATAATACAAATCGTTGCACGTCAGGTAAACAAACAAATTCTTTTATAATGATAATTTGATTATGTCCGCCCTTATCTCGGTGGCGTTTCAATTATCCACTCGGCTGTTTTCTGTAGACCTCGACATGACGGCGATGCACTGTCTCTGGTTTAAGTAACAATTAAATAATCGCCAGGGCGTGTCGCGGCAACCTTGTGTCTGTTGTCGTGTTGCAACCCGTGTCAAGGAAAAACCTACTTCACAGTTTCCCTGGCCACGACTTGGAAGTTCGCATGTGACTATCGATTAAACGCGTCAGTAGTTTTTCTTTTTTCAAGCTAGTTCGTTTTGAGGAAAGAATTGGGCCGTTCCTAGTTTTTTAATATTATACAGTTACCGATTTAAATTATTTCTTCATAGAATTTTATTACATTATTGGTCTTACATTGACGAAAATCCACCTTTTTTAATGTTAGAATCGTAGATCGTCAGAATGACAGACTGAGATTTAATATGAATGTTTTTATTTTCTAAAACAAACCGATTGACATATCGTAAACAATCAAGTATAAATTAATGATTCCTTTCTAAACATGTTAATAAGACATGTAAATAGCAATTAAATATTTAATAAAAAACGTCGACATAGTATAAGGGACGTTGTATATTGACACCTACTCAACTTATGGCTGATGATTACATAACAAGTCGCGACGTGGTGTGACACAGCGCGCGCGCATGTTGCGCTGCTGCATCGTGATGTCAAGGATGCATACTGCGGCATATTACAACGATGCTATTGTGCCACGGTCACATGTAAACTGATATTAAACAAAACTGAAAAACTGCAATTAATAACAGTACAGTATGAACAAATAAATAAAATTACATTTTATTTGTCATTCTGTGGATTGCTAGGAAACAATAGCAAAGACAATTACATTTATTTTTCATATAATAAAAATGTGACTGATAGGTTACTGTAGAGGAAAGATATGTATGAGAAAACTATTGTTGTGGGACTTTATTGACGTAGTAGGTAGAACCCATAACAATGATTCTTAGAATTTTGTGTTTCTTTGTGGTAATTTCTGAAACGGATTAACCGATTAAGTGTGCAGTTCTTACTAATGTATTGTTGTAAGCTTAACTTAAAATATAGTGCTTGTTTTATTCTATTCTACTTACAAACAAAAGAGTTATATGGGTACGACGTTTCGAGCTTCATACTCTTTAATAATCATAAATTATATAGGTTTCA